CAGGATGACTTCAGTGGCGCAATTTCTTACATTTACTCTCTAGAACTGTTCTTTTTACCTTCTGTGTTTCTCTTCTGAAAATATTTTTTTAGGGTATTATAGATGGCCATTTATCATTTTGGCATTGAATGTAGTTGCTTTTAAGTAAAATACTTCAGGTTATTCCATTTATAGAACCTGTCAATCTGGAGTATTCTAAAAAAATCTAACAAATTACCCCAAAAATAGTAGGTTCCAAGAAAATATACACAAGGATGAATTTTTATGCATGACATAAAATTGTTAGTAATTCTTAGTGTTTTGAAATCTGTTGCTAGTCTGCTCTCTATTAAGAAAAGAGATAATTTACAAAACAATTTTACAAATGGATTTGTAGATTTGGGGGTTGTGTGTGTATATATATAAAAAAGTATGAGGTATCAAGAGACTACTTCCAAATAGAAAGAATATTAATAGCATTATACAGGTTCTAGTGCAATCCAATCTGGAATACTGGAAGTGCAGAAAATGTTTACTCTTCAGACACTGAGAATATGCCACGAGTAAAGATTAAAAAAGCATGGCTGGTTGACCTTAACGAAGCAAAAGTTAAAGGGATATTTAAATATACTTCTGAATAGACCAAGGACAGTGTTGACATAAGGAATGCATGTGCTTGACCATGAATAAATTTTAGGCTGAAAAGTAAAAGGAAATCTCTGGTGGTGTGAAGTTCAGCAACAGTCTTCCAATTGAAATAGTGGTGAGTAAGACGGAACTTGATTGGTATGTAAAGGAATTAACAAAGTAGTTCTCTCTGACATTACTTGCAGGACTGATCCTGTAGATTCCTTCCAGTTACGTGTTCCTCAACTGAAAAACAATTTTGTGTCTTGAAAAAGAATAACAAAATCAAAGTTGAAAACTGCTGTGGAAAAAAAAAAGATAAATTTCCTGTTAGTAGTATTAAGTAGACATATCAGTAAAAATGAACATAGATACTAAATGGGATTTAAAGACGGATTGAAGGATAAAGGCAAATGAGTAAGAGTGGCCAAGAAATGCTAAAGATGATGAATTTTTGTGAACTAAAGATGGCTAGAGTTAACTGGTGTTTCTGTATTTTGGAACTACAAAGGAAGCTGCTCGATGTTAGTTTCCCGTCTAAGTGATTCTGATAAATTTTCTACTAACTTAGCCAAACTTGTGGTATTTCAGAGGCACAAATGTAGGCTAAATTATAACTTTTTTTTTTACTTAAATTTGAATTGTACATATAAAGCTATTGCTACTTTCCTTTTCAACTTGAAGAAAAAAAAAATCCAAATCCACAAACATTTCTTCCTCAACGATTAGACCAATGCATTTTATCTTTGGAAAAATTAATTATTTCTCCACAAATACTACATTATCTATTTTGCAATTTTGAAAATGTTTTATTTTTGAAGCTTTTTACTCATAGCTTCAGAGCTCATAATTTCCAGCTCATTTCTTAGTGTGATGCAGAAATAGTATTCATAAATGTATTAACATATGAAAATTCCTCCATAGTCAAGTAACTCAACTGAAAATATCACTAAAGAAGTTAAATAACAGAACATCTAAGATGAGCCCAAAGGCAAGAGCAGATCTTCTGATGTAGTAACAAAAGAACTGAAAACACTGATGTTATAGAAGACACATCTATATAATGTGGCAATTCCTCAACAGACTATATCTGACAAAATATTGGCAAGGTACATGTGCCTCCTTACATATTCTAAGTACCTAATGAATAATTAACTTATCATCTTTGAGAAAATGAACATGAAATGGTATGAAATTATGAAATTATTGTTAATAATTAAGAAATGTACTAATGTAGTTGCCAGGACCTTATTCCCCTGGGCCGTATGATCCTCTAGTGCTTATAATGCAGTACTTCCCAGAGGAAGAAACCTAGCAATAGGCTGCTTACTAGATGCATCTGTTTCTAGAGATTTGTTTCCTTTAAGACTACCAGTTAGTTACATCTTGGAATCCTGGGAGCTTGGGACATTAAAGCTGAATTTATTTTATCTTAAACAAAATGAATATTAGAGACTTTATGCTCAGTTACAGTGGAGTCCAGGTAGTATGGAAAGATCCATGAGTAAATGAAAATGAGACCCCCAAATTTTTATTGTAGCTCACAGAAAAGTGAAATAACAGGAAATAAAAATTTTGTCTTAAATACCTGAAAGAAAGCTGAATCTTTTGAAAGTTGTGAACTCATTAAGATACTAGCCAGAATGCTTGCAAGCAAGCAAGCATACATCTTGTTTCTTCCGTTCACCTTGTAGCTCTGCAACAATCCAGTCATGTAACTTTTGCCTCATACCAAACCACCAAGTCTGACATCCGTAAAACAAAGACAGCCCTCATACTCTCTTAAAAAAGCTAATGTTTAATTAAATTTTTCCTCTTCAAGAAGCATTTGTGTGCGTGCGTGTGCGCGTTGTGTTCATAAAAAAGAATATGAACAGTACTCCTTCCTTCTTTGCTATTTTACTATCATTGTCACGTACTCTGTTATAACTTACTTGCCAGGTAAATGTAGTCTCTGGAAACTGAATATTCTACTTGCTTCTTCCCAGCTTGGCTAAGAAATTTATTCTGAGTAGTTCCATTAACTAGTCTTCTGTGACATTGGTGCATCTGGAGACTGGGGTCATCAGCAGCAGTTTGCTGCTACCACTGCAATTGCACCAACCTGAGTTCTGTCCTTGATTTTCAGTCCAGCCTACAGTCAGATACATGGGATTCCCAAGCCTGCTCTACCAACATCCTGTCCCTGTGAACTGCAGAGTATTATGGATTTGTTCATGAAGGATGATATTTTACTTCAAAATTTTTAAATATGTACCTTCAGATAAGTCTTGTGTCTACCCCTTCTACCACTGAGTTTTAAGGAAACTTGCAATTACCAGAAAGATTTCTCTCCTTTACCAATTTTTCAGAAAAGAGAACTGATGATACCTTTCTTATGGAGACGTATTCACAAGCTGAAAGTTTCCTCCATAATGGGTTTTGTGTTTCTTTGGTATGCAATTATAAAATAAGGGTCTTGTCTTCTGAGCTAGGAACATAATAGAATATAAAATAGAAAGTTTTCATTACAAATTCTTGATAAGGGGAGGGAGGTTTTCCTTCATGCCAGTGGAGTAACACCTACCATTTGGGACTTTTTCAAAACAGTGAATTGAACTTTTGTTTTTCCAGGTCATAAGTTTCTTTGCAATATAATCTCTCAAGTGTCTGAAGAATCCAGGTAAAAATCATTTGCTTGTTTGGGAGGTGGGAAGGAGAGAGGCTTAATAAGAAGACACGATGTACTTTTAATTTAAGTTTATAAAGCCACAAATAAACCTTTCAATGATGGGTTAAGGACCTCTGCCAGCAAAATCATTCTGCTCTTTGCCAGAAATACTTAAAATTTGCAACCCCTCTTTTGATTTTGCCTAATACCAGTCCCAATCGTGTATAACATCATACTGGTTATATTCTGATCATTGGTTGTTACTAATTACAGTTTCATTCATATTTGGATGGCTTGGGAGCAGGCTGTCAAAGGCCACAAACTTTGTTTGGTTTACTTATCGTGTTGAATTAAAATTGCATTTAAAACTCACAAAAATTCCATTTCCCTAAGGCACTACTAGAATTCTAATTGTAGTCTACAGACTTTTGTCAAGGTCCCCTGTATGTACCTGCAAGCTTATAGGGAGCGAGACTGAAGCAAAGAAAGTTATGCATAAATATCAACCGCAAACAGGTTGGGTTAGACTTCATAGTATCCTGTTCATTTCTAAAAAGCATGAATTGTGGCACTGCATGATATAAATAAGAGGATAGTATAAAATGTCCAAGCCTACAAAAAAAATTGCTAGTCTGTTTGCCTGTGTCACTGGTTGCATTCACTGTGTACGAGATTATTTCAGAATCAAAGTACATAAGGCAGAGGTCTTCCAGCATTACTACAGGCATCTGAGAATCCCTTCCACTGATGTGTTTGCTGGTCTTTACCCCTTTTGGTGCCATGTACAAATACCTAACAATGCTGATGATGTTTGCTATTGAGTGGAACCTTCCTTTATTTTGTATGCTTATTTCCTCTGACTCAACTTACTTGTCAGCAGAATCTTATTGCCACTGCAATTCAAGCAAGTTTGGATTAATGCAAAGGCATGTCAATTATTTGCACCAAAACGTCTTTACTGTTGCTCAAAATTAACTTCACACCCTTAGGCTGACTCCTAAGGAGACGCTGTTGAGGGAAGGAGCTATCTCCACTGGACTATACTGTACATGTTATATAACTGCTGACACATACATGTACTGGTTTTACTTTCAATTTTGCATGATTTTTCCACTTTTTACAGACTCAAGATTTTGTTTTTATTTTAGTATATTTATTTCAGTATATTTATGAACTATCCTACAGTTTCTTCAACAAGTATATTAGACCTCATCCCATTTCCTCTTATTGTCTTAAAGACATTTTAATAGAATGTCATTTTAATGTCCAGTCATTTTAATAGAATCATCCAGAGCAACGTTTCCTGAAGACTATGACATTTTTATGCTCTTCCATTAGCCCCACTGCCTACTTGCATCTGAGCCTGATCTACCATGGTTGTATGAACGTTCTTCAAAGCTTTCTGCTTAGTCTGTTTTGATTTCCTTGCCTAGTGGTCATTACTTGACCAGGAATCCAAGGGACAGCAAGTGTCTGTATTTGATTTTTCATAATAACGTGAAATTGTATTT